TTTGATATAATTATAGAATGATCATTATTTCTAAGGCATTGTTTTATTTTTAAATCACTTGTATATTTAATATTTTTGTAGTTTAATCATTGTTACGTTTTTAATATTTTAAATTAAACTTGTCAGTTTTATTATTTCATTAATTATTATTTTTAGTAATCGATATAAAATAACCTGATAAGACTAATTTTTTTATGCATGCTAGCAATAAGCCTACTCACTGCAAGGTTGTTCCATCGGCGTCCGATTATGCTCTTTTCTTATGTCTCCCTCTCCTTTTCATGTACAAAGTTGTCGAGCCAGCTCCTCTATCTCTCTTCTCCTTCCATTACTTTGCGTAGACATTTGTTAGTTGAAGCAAATGTTAAAGTCCTTCTCTGCAATAAACGACAAACGTATAGATTTAAGTTTCAATTACCATATTATATACTCGATTGTCTCAGAATCCGGATATTGATGCTCGAAATATGGAAAATGTATGAACAGGGTATTGAAAAATTTTTCCATTATTTTCAATGATAAAAGTTTTCATTTTTCACTTTCCATTCTAGAGAAAAAGTTTCATGATCGATACCAAAGTATATATCTAACCAGCGATCATGTATCTTTTCTCTACAGCGGATGAGCGGAAACGCGAAATGTGAAAATTTTGATTTTTAACTGTTCGGTAATTTCATCGAATTTCTGTTGCCGTGCTCTATAATTTTATATGGATAAAACTATACGTATCATGACCGTATCGTGTGAATGAGCTCTTACGCAAACAGATTATTATAATATTTAAGTCGCGTCGCTTTTTGTTACGTGTGAAGCCACACGCGGAAAACGACGCCACTTCCCTATTTTTCGATCATTCGCGTTTTATTCGCGCGAATGTGACGGGGATGACGCAAAGTGGCAGCGCAATCAAATGTAATTAAAACATAAACTTGTATTTAATAATTTTTCGATATTTATCACGCAATTAGAGACTCGGTATACCGCTGCCACTTTGCGTCATCCCCGTCACATTCCGCGAATGAAACGCGAATGATCGAAAAATAGGGAAGTGGCGTCGTTTTCCGCGTGTGACTTCACACGTAACAAAAAGCGACGCGACTTATTTATCAATTAATTTTCGAGTGAACGAGTAAAAATGTTCGAGAGTTTAAAGGTGATTATTGTTAAAATACTTCTCGCGTCGCATGTCAAACTTTTAATAATTTAATAATAATTATTAGTAATTACCTCGTTGGTAAATAATTCCGCGTCGTTCTCGTTGTTTTATTCTCTGCAAAGATGATCAGGACTTCTGGAAATCAGGACGCGTCTGGAGATAGCGGAGATCAGGATTCTTCCGAAGATAGTGGAGGATCAGGATGCTTCCGAAGAGACTCCATCCAGAATATTTGCGGAGATAGTGGTAACCAAATCCTTCCACCATGGTGGTAACTCGTTCCAGAGGAAGGATGCAGTGCGAAATAAGAGAGCGAACTATTCCAACGTGATACACCGCACCCGTCCCCTGGCCGACTTGCACAGACTTGCACAGACTTGCAAAAACATGAAACTGCGGGAAAGTGCGAGTTACGCGATACTTATATGCGCCGATCAGACTCGAACCCCCACCACTCGCAGCCAACCAATGAGCGCGTTGTGGCGCGATGCTCTGCACAAGCGCGTATTCAAGCGCTGATCGGATCACCGCTAGCTTTCTATTGAAATATATAAAACACGACGCGCAAAATTTTCAGTAATTTTCAGATTCTGATGCTGTGTGGTTCTTGAGGACAGAGAAATTGGCAATATGTCCACGTTTTGTGGACATAAGAGGCGCTTCAAAATAAAGTAACAGCTATATATATATATAAATCCCGGCCGCTCTCAGGCTTCTCTCTGGTACTATACGCTTATTATAATTGCATTCTTGCGAACGATATGTTTAATGCATCATATTGTCATTTCATGAAAGGTGAAAACGATTTTTCTTCCTATACTAAAAGTAAATCTAAATTTGTTTAAATATATCAATAAAGAAAAACATAGGGAAAACACGCAAGTTCTTTGAAGTTTGCCAGTCGAAACCAGGAAGCATTATAAATTGTAACTCGCTCGAACTTTAATTTCTTTCGATTCCTGCTAATTTTTTTCCTTTATATTTTTGCTGGCCATGATACCGATGCGCCTGCGCCAACGAGTCTCAGTGCTCGCCAGTGTTTACAATTCAAAGTGATACGGAGACATGGAGGATCAATAGTTCGCGCGTCGTTTCCTGTTTTGTATAATCGCATCAATTCCGTCTTTTCTGTGATCGTGCCTAAGGATGCCGTCTCGCGGAGAGGATATTCTCAAAGGTTTTCAGGTGTATCCTTTAATTTAAGGTTTAATTGCAGTGCGATTGCTCCGCAATCACCTGACAGTTTTTAGGTTAGAATATAACGTCGAATCCGAACTTTCGACGTCTGTTCTTTGTGGCTGAGTTCTTTTTCATTTTTTCTATTTTCTCTCTTAGGCCGGAATCATGACTAATCAAAATAATAGGAGCTAAAATTCCTTTATTGATCAAATTTCAATCTTCAATCTCAAATTTCAATGCGTAGTCTGATTCCGGCCTTAGGACTATTTGTGTGCTTATTTTATTTCAAAATTGTGAAATTTTTAAAATATTAGTCATCAAGATCTATCTTGATTGAATTGAAGCCTTCGCTTCATCATGTTGACCATTTCTCTCTCTCGGTTGATTTTCACTTAATATTATATTTTATTTTACTTAAAACGTTTATTTTATACATTAATATTATAACAGTACAACTGCAAAGTACAGATATTTCAGAATGTTAGTTTAACGAATTAGATTATATAAATGGATATGTCTCCTTAATTATGATTCCATCAGTAATTGGATGAATCTACGCGATGCCGACAGTGGAAAAATTCTCTGGCAGGGTAACGAAGACTTGTAAGTAAGGCTGATTTTCTAGGTACATCATTGAAGGACGATAGATTAAATCCTTGATTCTTTGCTTATAGGTCTGTACCTGATGTAGAACATGAGGCACGTGTACCAAAAAAGATCTTACGTTGTCGTGCAGTATCAAGGGAGATAAACTTTAGCTCTGCAGAACCAATGGAGAGGTTTCGCCTGGAACAGAAGGTACTATTTAAAGGGCGTTGTCTGGAAGAGTGGTTCTTTGAGTTTGGATTCGTTATTCCCAACAGTACTAACACGTGGCAAAGTTTGATTCAGGCAGCACCAGAGAGTCAAATGATGCCAGCGAATATACTAAAGTAAGTAGAGATACATCCTTGGTGTTTCATCGCTTATCTATTGATTAATTGTGTGTATACGTTTTCCTTTACGAATAGCGGCAACGTCGTGATAGAAACAAAATTCTTCGACGATGATCTCTTAGTGTCTACCAGTCGAGTCCGTCTCTTCTATGTCTAAGGCGATTTCCAAACGGTCCTAATCATACATAACGTGGGACCAATCAACGTGAACAGAAACCTTATACGAAAATAGAACAACGCACGTGTGAAAAGTTTCTTACAAACTGAACGTTTTTCGTCCTTTAATATCAAACACTTCTTATGTATACATTAGTAATACGATATATTGATAAATCTGATAATTTTGTAAAAATTTACATTCTTAGAGAGATTAATGCAACCGAAAAATTATCAAATTTTATCAGTAGCATTTTTGAAACAAGGGGCCTAATGCATCTAAAATACGTTTTTCACTTGATGAAGGTGAGAATATGACGCACTGTTAAAGCACGTAATTTATTTGTTATTTGTTAAGTGTGAATAAATGCAATAAGTTTTGTACATATTATAACATACCGCACCGCGAGCAATAAAGTTTTAAAAAATTCATTTTGTGTGTATTCTATTTTTATAATACTGTTGAATTATAATATTTCTATTATTAACAAATCCCTTAAATTATTAATTGTAAAAAGATTATAATTTTAATATAGCGCTATATATCTTCTCACTATCAGTATCTGTAAAGCTGTTACGTTTTCGGTCTCCAATTATCAAAGGGAAAGACCAGTTGTCCTAAAAATGCAATTACAAAATTGCAAAACACAATTATAAATACACAAAGTTGATTTGTCGTAAAGTCAACGAGAGATATGCAACTATCTTCATCATACGGTAGTACTATAACAGTCGTACGCTATTGATTAGTGGTGTACAAGCAACACATTTTTTAGGCTTCACCACACCCCTTGAGGGAGTTCACTTTGAGTATACTCTGTCCCCTACTCTGCCTATACGCGTTGTATAAGTGTAAGGAAAGGAAAAAAAATCTCTGAAGAAGAGAGGACGAGGAAACACCGAGGAATCACCACGCAGTTAAGTTGAATGCAAACGGACTTCTTGTTGATTGAACTACAATATCGTATCGCGCGCTTTGTTTCGCGCGCGATTAATTCAATTATACTCGACTTGGCGACTTCCCTCGGAGAGCCAGGAGTTCTCACGGGATGGATCTGAACGAAGAAGACGAAAGCGGAAACGAAAACGGCCGGCAGCTATTTCTGGTCGGCACGCCGCGCGATCCATTGGTATCAGCTGGTGCGATCGTAGCGTCGTCGACGAGTGTCTCCGACGATGTCAACCAGAATGACGATCTGCAATCGACCGCCCTAACTGGTCTAATTGGCGGCGCGCAATCCACCTCCGTCTGCTTCCCTGCAAAATTCAGTAAGTGCACAACGTCGTGTCCTCACAACCTGGATCTGATTTAATTAACCGCTTCTGTCTCTGCTGCCCAAGTTGGAGTAGAGTGTCGCTCAATTAAGTTATTGCTAAGTGCATTAAGTGGATCCGCAGTCAACCCTTTTTCTTAAATAAAGTTAGCGGTAATCAGTTTAACAGTTATGAAGCATTTTCGATGTGTCTGCGGAACATTGCGACATAAAATCTGAGCAAATCGCGTCGTGGATTCTTATACCGCGCTGAAACTAACGAACGTTACTTATACTCCGATGTCCTTACGTAACGTAGTATATCGGGACGATTTTATCGGAAGAATATTGTCACGACGGATAAACTGTATCTTCTTGTAGCATATGATTTCTCGACTGGCCCTGAAAGCGAAGAGAGACCATCCTGCATTATTGGCAAAAGAAAGCAGCGTAGGTACCGCACCACATTTTCCAATTTTCAGTTGGAGGAATTGGAACGTGCTTTTCAGAAGACTCATTATCCCGATGTGTTCTTTCGGGAGGAACTCGCAGTTCGTATCCAACTGACAGAAGCTAGAGTACAAGTAATTTCTGCGTGTTTCCTTAATAGAATTATATGTACTTGGAGTATCTGGTTAAAAGAACTAGTATCATTATTAATTTCCTCGCAAATAGGTGTGGTTCCAAAATCGGAGAGCAAAATGGCGCAAGCAGGAGAAACAATGTAAAATTGCGACTCATATGACATCATCACACTTACCACCGGATTGTCAAGAAGTGCAGCAACATCAATCGCAACACTCGGATCACTTGTTATTAGAATCACCGTGCAGTCCTATATATCTCGGCATGGAATGGGCAGGTTTCTCTCCTTACAACAACACAGACAGCGCATCGTCTCTTATGAACAACATGAACAAGCCAACGGAGACAGAAGCTGACAATAATCCGCTGCTCGATCCTGAATTGTTACAATTAAAACCTCCACGTTCCTAATAATATTAAGAATATACATATATAATATATTATTTGTAATTTCGATAACATTCCATACTTTCTAAGGAGTTACGTGATTAGCATAATAACTAAAATAACTTGCAATATAATTTTAACCAGAGATTGTATATTATTCGCGTATAAATCATAAGGAGACTACTGCTTGTCGAACAACGAATGAAATTTGTACGACGAAATTAGAATTTTGATATTAATGATTGCACGAAAACATATACTATTTAAGAATGACCATTCGAGGCCTTATTACATATTAACGATCTGTCATTCATCGATGAGAAAAGTTGCGATCATATTCATAAAGATGGTCGTACATACATTTTATAACAGGAAAGATGTATATATAATAGAGTCTGTTTCTCTCAGACAAAAAGTAGATTCTATTAAAGGAAAAATAATAAATATTTATATTATGTATATATACAAAATTACTCTTTGCAAAACGTATTACTCCAATATAAAATAGTAACGTCAACTTTATTCAGTGTGCATATGTTACAAGTCAGTAAATTAATTAAGGTATTTATTAATTAATTGATCCTAGGAGCGAATAAGCGGTCTAAGATGCTTTTCCCAATCTTTCAAACATTGAAAGTTTATTTCCTTTTTTCAATAATATTTTTCTCTTTTTCTTTGACTAATTATCTTCGAAAATTTCAATAATTGTCGAAGCTAATTAGTCGAACAACGAATAAAGTTTTTATTATATAGCCTTGTCGGTCAGAGATTCTGTTAACGTTCAAACAGAACACTGGGACGCATCTCGAGTGAAATAAATTAGTGACAGACGTTAAAAGGTTACGCAATGTATGAGTATTCGTCCGCGCTATTTGGCGTACGTTCGATATACTGTTTATCTATCAGAGTTTCAATGCACTTTTTAATCATTCCGATAGAAGGTGCAAAAGTAACTTTTGATTGACTCAACACCTGAAACAATAGAATTGCATTAAACACCACTGCGAGGCAATTATTATACGCTTGTATTGCACTCTCAAAACTCCCAACTCACCTCCTGTATGAGTTGATTGTGTTTTAATAGCTTGCGACTCTTCATGATACGAACTATAGCCGCCTGCAAGAACATCTTTCTGTCTTCATCCACACTGCGATGTGTAGCCTCCGCATCCTGTGGCGCGTCTCGTTGTAACACACCTGTCACGCGAAACTTGGTTCTCTTATTGGAGTAACTAAAATTGAGCGTGAGAATAGTATCCTCCTCCAATTCGCCGTCGTTGGACTTATTGAGGATCTTACAATCCACAAGGCTAGCAGCATGCTTCATTAACTGGTCATGCGATAAACGTAACGAGACAGCTGCTTCTTTGCATGGTATCGTATCACAATGCTCGAAAAGCAACAGCAACGCCATTTGATACGTTTGCACAGTGACCAAATATGATTTCTTCAAATAATTAAATTTGAGTTCGCCTTGACTCAGATGGTGCAGCCACGTAAGCTTCCGACCACTAAATTGCATATGATAGAACGTCTCAAAAGCCTGGACGGATTTTTCCAGTTGTTGTGGAACATGAAACGGACCGGGGGAAGGGGGTAAACCAAGCGGCCAAGCACCAGCTTGCAATACTTTAACCGTGAAACCAGTACCCAATTGATTCTCTCCGTCACCTTCCCGTAAGGTCGCGATGAACTTCGCGTTGAGATCAGCTGAGACGGACATGTCCGTAAACATACGATGAAGCTTGTTCGTGAACTCGTAACCACATGCCCGTTTCAGATCATCGATCATCATTTCCTCGGCATCCATTGATTGCGACTGCTGATGTATTAATCGCTTCGCCAACATGCGGGAATAGAATTTTTGGAACACATCCTTATCATCCACATACTTGAACACGATTATAGAGCGTTTCAGTTTATCCTCGATTTCACTTTCGGAGGTAGCTCTGGGAGACTTTTTCAGTAGGATATCGCAATACCTCGCGAGCTAAGTGACAAATATACATTGTATAACTATATACTATAACTTATCAATGGAAGTCGTATCCTAAGTTGAAAATATCATCGCTTTTAAATAATTTACCAATTCTGGTGCTCGAACTGGCTGTTTTGGAGCGGGCCTATAATTTACGATGGCGGAGCAAGCTTTATCGAGAGCACCTACAAAACTTTGATCTGAATTGAACACTTCTTTAATCATTTCGCAATATTTCGTATGTACATTTAACATATTCTCCACAAACTGCATGTATACCTGAAATTACAAGTTCGTGTTTTTTCTGTAAAATTGCATAAATCTATAGATTTTAGTACTTCAAATATTATGTTATATTCACATTTTCTCCTTGCAAAGGTCCGATTGCTTGTAATCCTTGTAGTGTAATGTGACGAGTAAGATGTTGCACAAGTGGATCTAAACCTCCTGGCAAGGACCTTAATAATGGATAAAGAAGAGCTAAATCTCGTTTGCTCTCGTTTTTTATCATCATTTCTGCTTCTGAATGTAGTAAATCTACATGTGCAGCTACCATTTTATCTTCACAGCATGCTCTGACCTGCAACAAAATATTGTTGTGGTATACATCCGTTCTACAGTTATTTCTAAAATAATATCTAAAATAATTTAGAAATAATTATTTCTAAAAAACTAATAAAAAACGATAACGCACTTTTGCTATAGAACTCTTGTGAAGGAACTTATAAGCGCGTGCCTCCTCTTGAGCAAGTCTCCACGTTACTTTTTCTATATAACGCGTAACGTCTGATTGCTGCAACAACGATGACGCTTCCGCTGTGTAAAATTCTCCACTAGCCTCCAAAAAAGGTTCCTCAAAAATTTCTTGATACAACTAAAAAATATAATTTAATTTAGTAAGAACTTAAAAATAAAAAACCGTTTTATTTTTGCTTATAAAAACAAAAATGTATGTAATCAATTACGTTTAATTTTCCCTTCATCTTGTGATCTTCTACCCGAACAAAACTTTCTATAACACCACAGATAACATCGGTCGGGGCAAGCAATTCCAAATCTCTATCGGCATCGATACACATAAGCAGAAGAGAAACGAGTTTTTTCTTAAGTGGTATTATCATCTTTTTCTTCCAAATATCCAAACCCAGTTCGCCAATCTCCATCTGCTCTTGGCACTCTTCTTCTCTATTGTGCAAACTCGTGCCATAGATGAGTTCTGCCTCAGAGAGCTTCTGTTTTTTTATGTGTTGTTGATTGAGGTATAAGTACAAGCTATGTAAATAGTCAATGCCTTGTGAATACTCAGTCCAAGCGCGATAATACGCTGGAAGTAGTTCCCACTTGTCATTATACGAATTGACCTTTACTAGCAAATGGTCTACATGATTAACCAAAAACCTCTTGGTTTCATCGTACAAACGATCTGCCAGAGGCTCAGGATAAGCAACACATAAAGAATAAACATCGCTGTAATCATAATATACACTTAATGCACACATTCATCTACATTGATGACTTATAAAATAATTGTTAAATTTCATACCTAAATCTATCGTTCCATATAGCACGTGGAATATTTGCCAATGTTATCACACCTTTGATAGTCTCTTGCAGTACATGCCATGTTTTATTAAAATCCACTCTCTTGGGTTTTAGTGACATTCTTCCCTTTGATCCACAAACCACTTGATAACTTGATCACAATAATAAGCTAATTCCACAGAGAAGTGCACTCACTGTATACAATAAACCTGCAAAATAGCAAAGTCACTCATATTATTTACATACAGGAATTGTGACACACATTCAAACAATAGAAGCTTGACTTGTACAAGAACCAACGAATCACTTGATGTTCAAACAAAAACAATCCCACTCGAGGACACATCCCAAGAATAATTTTTCGGAGTACAGACAGAGACTGAGTTTACACGTCTTTGTTCGTGTTGTTTTGTACATCGTCAGTTTAAAAATAACGTAAAAGTAAAATACACCACACGCGTATACGCACACATACAAGCATCTCACGGCCATTCTAAATCTCCCCGCTACTCGTAACTTTACGCGGGCAAGGTGACACTCTTCGCGAGAATCTTCAAACTTTAAACCGACTTGTGGGCGAGTTATACGTATAAACACACACACACGTTTCAAAGGGAAAACCGATCGAAAATCTAATGGTGCGTGGCCGCCACGCCGTCGCCTGACGGAGGCGTGCGGTGTGTACGGAGCGTGTGCTCCGTGCACACGCGTTGCGAAATATCGATTCGAACAAAAGGGGACGTGTCGTTTTTTTTCTCCTCGCTCGGAACGTAGCGGAATCGGGGAACCGTCCGCGCGTGGGACTACACGCGCGTACCCGCCATTGGGGGCCCGGAGCAAGTACCACACAGCTGACTGGCTCGGTCTCAGCTCCAGATGGACCGCGTGCCGCGGGTCGGCCTAACCAAAAAGAGTCAGAGCGCGGGAGGAACGCGGAGCACCGAGACACGAGCTCGCGCGCGCGGCTCCTTCGCTTCCCTGTGGCCGACGGGCCGACGAAACGTACCGGCCGTTTATTTTTGGGGCGGGGACGCGAGTCACTCGCTGTCGCGACGGGACGGTGCATGGCAGTCACGGCGATACGCCGAGCGCATTTTCCGTCCGTATAGCTGTAGCTCCCGTCGCCTCCGCGCTGCAGCTCCCTTTTCCTCCCGCTTACGACTTTGCCCTCGCACGCTCGTGTCACCGCTGATCGTCGTCCGTTCCCTCCGCTAACCGCGGTGTCACAGTTTCGCTCGGAATACTTGGACTCGCAGTACACCCTCCCGTGTACTCCCGTGCCCGCTCGCGCGTTGAATCCTCAATAACATCGCGCGGCCATCAGCGGCCATGCTCTCTTCCGTGCGTGTACGAGAGCGCGCAACGCACGATTTTCATTCGCCAGTCACATATGTGTGACACCCGCGCGTCCCGCACACGTCTGACGTCGTACCATTGACAGCGCGATATGTAAATCACGTGGCTACGGGTCTATATAGGTCTACATAGAATATAAACGCGAAGACAGCATTAGTAAGGGAAGACGATATAAAATCAGGATGTTAGAGAGACGATTGTGTGTTTCTTGAAATGAGGTAAAAATTATAAAGATGAGCAAGTATTAGAATTTTTATAATTTTATTGATTAACACGTCAAAGTGAATGCAAGCTAACGCGCAATTGATCCCATAGTTGATCCTTATCAAAATTAATAGAGTGGTTATATAATTGATCATATTTATATATATTTTAATTATAAGTATTAAAACAGTTAACCTACATATACCGTTATAATAATTAATAATAGTACTAGAGTAGAGCCAATTAATCTTATCCACTTATTTAATTTAATTGTATCTATTATTATAACAATACTGTTGATATTTAAAACAATTAAATTGTTAATTAACTGTAGTATTAAATTTTTATAGATGGGGAAAAAGAAAGAAGAGAAATAGGCAAAGCTGTTTTTCTTGCTTTTAGAATATACATATATGTGTGTATATCTCTGACGTCTATTATTAATTAACAATTATAGGCTTAAAAACATAATGCAGCTCATTAAATTTATCATTTTCTATTAATTGAAGTTAATATAACAATTTTAAGTTTTTTTTTTATTTATTTCTGCTTATTCCGATTTTGCATGAATTATTCATAGAACGATTACACACAATTGATTAATGAGATGAGACTCGCTACGTTTGCATGGTTGCTTCTTCTTCTTATTTTTATTAAATTGAACTTTCTTGCATTTCAACAGTCGCTCGAAATCTCGCTCCCAAATCTCACGATAGTAGAGGATCTCTACACGATACGTCTACACTGCACGCTCTCTATGTCGTTTCATAGCTCGTGGTCGTGACTCGCATTTCGACGCGTCTGGGTCAACTGTCTGTGGTTGTGACGTTTTGCATTGTAAAGTGTTCGATAATTGTACGAAAAGATGGTAAGTGTTTATCTGTTAAAAAGTATTCCTTGCATTTCGTCGTATTGTTTTGTAATAGTATTTCTTGTAATCGCGACTACGAGTCCATAAAGGAATCTACAACTATCTACATTTGAAGGTTAAATTACTGTCAATACATCAATGACAATGTATTTTTGTGACGAATTATAATTTCTATACCATTCTAGTCAGCACACTTCAGGATTAATATTCGTTGTATAATTAATTTTTCAGGCATGTTAATTGACTGCAGAAAATACAGAAGTTTTTGTCTATCTTGTGGAGGTTTAAGCACAAGATTGCTGTAACACATTAAGACTTTCAGGACAAGATTATTTTTGACTTGCTTACAAACGATTAGATTACTTTTGCTTATATAGCACATGGTAGCACGCTTTCAAGATATATATGCCAAAGTTTGTACGTTGCTTACGTCTACAACTTAAGTCTGTCTTAATGTGTTATATGGCAATCCTGTGCTCAGATCCTATCTCTTTGCTTAATAATCCTTGGATGTTTTCCAGCAAGAACACAGTCAAACACAATAACAATAAATCTTTATTTCTTATAGGATTACTTACAATTGGACACAGTATAGCACAATACATTATTACATTCTTATTATTTGCCTATGTTGAACAAGAATTAAATAATTCACTGTGTTACATAGTTGACTGTGTCCTTACTGAAAGATGCTCCTTATCTTTCTATTCCATTTTTTAAAAGTTTTAAGTGAAAATCTTACTCTGACAAGTGAAATATTAATTTTAAATAATAAAAATTGAGCTATTTCTTTTCAAGACTGGTTTAATTTTTATTCTTTAGAGTAAAATTCCAAGAATTTAGATAGTAGTTACTTAACAGGTTCGAATTTGTCGAGCAACAAATATAATCAGCCTCTTAAGAGTGTATACTGAGAATGTTTGTAGGATATAGAAATGTCTTCTGAACATCTTTAGGATTTTGGAGTTTTATGTTATACAAAGAGCTTCCCTTGTGTACTCTCTAAAACTTTTAAAATGAATCTTGTCTGAAGAGTGAAATCTGATTTTTAAAAATTAATAATTGAGCCATTCTTTTTCAAGTGTGATGACTGGCTCAGTCTTTATTCTTTAGATATCATTTTAAAGAATTTAAAAAGTATTTGCGCTGTTTTTCAACATATTTTTACTTTTTTTTGTAGAGCATTCTTGCGTACAATGGTGGTGCTGTGATAGCCATGAAGGGTAAGAACTGCGTGGCCATAGCAGCCGATCGCAGATTTGGTATACAGGCACAGACGATAACGTGTAACTTTCAAAAGATCTACGAGATGGGATCTCACTTGTACGTTAGCTTACCCGGTCTTGCTACCGACACTCAGACAGTCATGGAGAGGTTGCGTTTCCGCCTGAATCTATATGAACTAAAGGAGAATCGAAAAATTCATCCAAAAACGTTCACTGCTATGATATCAAATCTCCTATATGAGAGGAGATTCGGGCCGTATTTCGTGGAACCTATAGTCGCCGGATTGGATCCGGTCACATTTGAGCCATTCATCTGTAACATGGATCTGATAGGCTCCAGAAATATGGCTGAGGACTTTGTGGTGGGTGGAACATGTACGGAACAACTTTATGGCATGTGTGAGTCGCTTTATGAGCCTAATTTAGGACCTGAAGAGCTATTTGAGACTGTCAGTCAAGCTTTAGTCAATGCATTCGACCGGGATGCGATATCTGGATGGGGTGCTGTTGTTTATATCATGTAAGTATCATTATAGGATTAGCACAAATGTGCGATTGAAACTTTTATTAATATACGTTGCGAGAATTAAATGTATATGTATTTGGTTTCAGAGAAAAGGATAAGGTCACGAAAAGGACTGTAAAAACGCGAATGGATTAAATGCATTTGTCCTTTATATATCAATATATATGACAAAGTTTCATAATTAAGTCTAAGAAATATAAACAGAAACTTATAAATAACTTGTAATTAATTAAACCCTTAATATTATTTTAATGTCTTGATATTTCTTCTTATATAAAAGACACAAATTGGAAAAAAAGAAGTCCCGTTTTCAAATGTCTGTACGTCGGTCGATGTTTATTGCGTATAAATTAACAATTCACCATTTTGTAGGAAATTTTCTAAGCTTTAATTTTTATCTAAGGTATTTTTTACGTATACCTTGCAGAAATTGAGATATTTACAAAAAAGTTACCGCAAATCGCCTATTTATGCCAAAAGCTAAAAAAGACAAGCATTTTTATAACACTGTTTTGCAAAAAATATATGCCGATAGTCGGCACGTTCTGCTAGCAAAGTCACACGTACACAAGCTTTTGTGCTTTTTTGTGTGCTACCGGTTGCATCAAGCCGTCGACCGATGGCGCTACCATCGAAGGCTGTAAGCAGGTTGGAAATCGTATCAGGTGCTGTGTAATTGCGAGAAAACATATTATTGGCAAAAATTTTATTACTACAATGTCGATTAATACATTATGCGCTACATTTCGCAAAATTACGGTGGGCAGGATAAGTATGTACCTTCAATATAATTGCGATTTATAATTAAGTGTATGAAACAATTATAACCTAACATTGCTATCTACTTTATAAAAATAAGCAAAAATTAAATATTGTTTCCTTACTTCAAAAGTGCAACTCGAAAAATTAAGTTTCCAAAAAGAAACAAATTGTTCAATTTGACAGAAAATTATTGACTAATCAAATAATATCGACAAAAGGAACATAACATGGTCAAATGTCATTTTTTCGTTTACCAACTTTTCTAAAACTTTTTATGACGATTTTTTTTTATATTAAGTTATTTTTGATGATTGATGGTGTAATGTTTACATTCGTGGTAATAACTCAAAAATGCCTCAACATAAAAACATGATTTTTAAGTTATTACCACGAATGAGTTAAGTAAACTAAAATATATGTATTTATATATATATATATTATATATATATATTAGATTATTGTTATAATAAAACATACTGTTTAATTATTGTATATTATAAGTATTTATATGCATGTAATAATATAATACATTAAATTTCTTTATTCATATCTATTTCAGATACTGCTGCTATTGCTGCTGCAAGGTATTCGACACAACAATCCAACTGCGATACAAATACAGTTTCCCGTTTAATGTCTAATAATTGCATGCAGTGCGGTACAGGGTCGATACACATAAAATTTATACCACGAACACTTAATATAGATTTTAGAATGCCTACAAGAGGAGAATTCATAAGAAATATTATTGAAATTCCTTCTACCACTTTGATTCTTCCCTTGCAAGAGCCTACAAACCGTTTACCCATTCAATATGATTCACCTATGATAGAAAAATCTCTAGATTTACCTACAAATGAAAAAGTCATAGAGAAACAGGCAGTGAATATGATAAGAATCAGACATAAGAAGATGAAGAAACACAAACGAAAGAAGTTCCGCAAGAAGATGAAATTTATAATGGAAAAGATAAGACTAAAGAGAAGACAGAAGAAGGAGAAATTATTTCAAGCTGAACTAGTTGCGAAAATTAAGGAAGCAGAAGCGTTTGACGCCAAGGAGTATGTCAACGAGAGATTAAGTCTCTTAAATAAGAAATTTTTACAAAGAACTTACAGAGGCGAGATTTTACCTCCTGAGATGATTAAACAGTTTATAGACGAGAAAATAGCAAAAAAGGAGGCTAAACGTAATAAACCTCGTTTAACCTTATAATAACTTATGTATAAGTTATGACAATAAAGTTTTATTAGATGGTAATTATGGTTCTTTTTGTAATTTATTTTCAAAAATAAAATTGAGCCTGAAAAAAAGGGGATAATCAAGAAAAACAAGATTAAACGCACAATAGATTTACTTTCTTATAAAAAAATAAGTTACATATACAGTCATTCATTCATTCATCAAAGCTTTCATATATAACAATTGCATTAAGGCATATTTATACAGATGAAATTTTATCTTCATTATGATTTTAGATGTTTGTACATTATAATAACGAGTGATACTTAATCTACTGCGCTTTTTAATAAATATATATTTGAACATTTTTTATTTGGTTCTACAATATTAGTTGTGTATTGACATGCAAGATATCTTCATGAATTTATGAAATAGTTCCTTACAGGATACTCTCTACAATTTTCGTATTTATCTTATGCTTACAACTCCCATTGACACTATCATTAGTCATTACACATAACACACATTACAGTACAGTTTAATACTACGATTTCATAAATAGCACCATTTTTTATTTATGCATACTCTTAATTAATAAACAAAGAACTCTTTTAATTAAGTTGTCAAAACATATAATTGATCTTTTCTGTTTTACATCTTCAAGAGGAAAATTGAGATGATTAAAATTAAAATTTATATTTGCTATTTTGTTCAAATGATCTCTCGCATGTGATTTGAGATTATGAAAATGTTAATGCCTGCTAATTGCATATAATTAATCATTTTCATGCTTTGTAAACAAATACATGCTACGTAAATAATATAACATTTTGTCTCTAAAAACTTTTTTAATATTTTAAAATTATAACGTGTATATATATATATATTATATTCTCTCGCTTTACTTTACATTTTGTTCTATTTTTTCGTTGTTTGTCTAAACAAATTTTATCTTCTAAGGTATATTTGTCACAAAGCAAACGTCAAAGTTTTGAAGTACTTGCCCATTTCATTGTTTTTATAAAAGAAGATAACATACTTAGTCACTAACAAGCAAATGCTTTTTTTTTCTCCAAACTAAAGTAGATTTTTTTAAGATAAGCAACATTGCAAAAGTTATACGATTATGGATGGTCTTCTTTTTCACGGTAATATCTGGCCTTTTTTAATTTCTAAAACCTTTGGCTTGTTACTCATTCTGCCGGTCATCAAAGCATTGCTTCTACCAGAGAAATAATCCTCAATCTCTTGTAACGTTCTATCTTTAGTTTCCGGAAGGCATATGTAGAAGTATATCGTGCCAAACAAAGATATACAACCGTAAAGAATGAATGTACCATGGCGAGTGAGTACGCTGGCCAGGAACGGATAAGTTTTAACTACCATGAAGACAAACGTATGCGCGCACATAGTGGTCAGACCGCCGATAATACCACGTACTTGCACAGGATAAACCTCGCCTATCATCACCCACGGAATCACCAGAAAGCCCAGTGTACAAGTGATGGTGTATAAGAATATGCACATGACTGGCACCCACGTGGCGACGAGCGGTAGATCGTTCTCGACCCAGTAATTTTTCAACCACATATACCCGCCTAATCCTAGCATGGAAAGTCCGCATCCGATGGAGGATACCATCGTGAGCGGTCTCCTGCCACATCTTCTACATAGGACGCAAGCGACGATAGTAGAGGTGAGTCTAACTATCCCCAGTATAACCGCTGCTAAATATTTGTTCATACTTGCTCCCGAGTCCTTAAAGATCTCGACGGCGTAAAAAGTTATAACATTGGTGCCTGACCATTGGTATATCAAGAAGTACAGAAACAGCAATGTAAAAGGTTTGAGCGCGTTAGGTTTTAGCACAGCGCATATAATCTCCCGGAAACCAGTGAGTCGTTTGATGTTGTTCTTGTTAGAGAACTCCACCAAAGTCTCCATTTCTTGATTGACGTTGTAAGTACTGCCGCGGAATTTCTGTAACGCCTGCTTGGCCTGGTCTGGTTTGCTGCGCGATATGAGGTAGGACGGGGTCTCCGGGAAGAAGAACATCAACACTAAAGCGGTAAATGGCAAAATACCGCTGATAGCGGCACAGACGTTCCACGTAGCTATACTTCCTAGAGCATACTCTATCAGCACTCCTGTGCTGACACCGACGCTCGCAAGCGCAGTCAACATTCCCCGTAGATGCGGTTGTGTCACCTCACTCGTGTAGACGCGGGATGGTGCACCCACCATGCCCGATCCTAGACCGACGAAGAAACGACCGGCATATATCATGCGTATGTCGGTCGCGAACGTAATTAGCAGCCATCCGAGTACCGCTGGGATCTCCGTGATGATGAGTGAACGTTTTCTGCCTAACATGTCCATCATGTAGCCGGACACCAAGCAGCCGATCGGTGTGCCGATAGAGGACATGCTAGCTGCGAGAAAAAAAGAAACCGATGAGAATTAATACATTCTTTCCGTAAAAATAAAATCTTAGAAAAAATTCAGTCGACGCCAATTAAAAGTAACATATACTAGTAATGTAACATCAGTGTTTCCAGCAAACAAAGTGACGTTGTTTGTCATCATTTTGATTTTAATGATGTAAAAATACAAAATGACAAAGCTGACGATAAATAACGTCAGCTTGCTGGGTTATAATTTTGCACTTAAAATGTAATTGTCATGTAACATCATCATCTGTGATTTACGGACTGATTCGAATTTATGACCATATTTCTTTTAGAAAAAATAATAAACCTGAAAATTTTAGAATTTTACTTTTAAACATTTCGAAACTATTTTGTAATTGTTAGAAGTCTGCCCATCAATTTCTTGCGCAGTATATCTGAGATAACTCCCAAGTAAAGCATAAGTCATTATAACATCAAAATGACGTCAAAATAGCTGCAAATAGGTAACTAAAAAAATTGCTTTTCAATCAGTTACAACTCATATTTTTATGCCATTTTGATGTTATTGCAATTTTGTTGTTCTGCTTGAATGCTGATATTACCTTTGCATAAAACTAAATTTATCTGTTGTTTTCGTAATCTTCTGCTTTATGACATCAGTAGTGCGACATCAGACATTGAATACTAATTAGAAAGGAATTTTCCAGAATATTAAAATAAAGGACAAAATTTAATTTTGAAAAAATAAATCTAAAGGACAGCTACTTGAAATAAAAAACTTTCTTTTACAAAGGATTATTTTATAAAGGATGTATAGTTACCCCAATTGTATTACATTTATATTGCTGATGAGTACACAATTATAACATGCTGACGTAACGTTACTTTTACGTTTGTGTCGATTGGGAAGAAAATATCTCGGAAGAATTATAGATTCAAAATCCTTTCCAACGACCTACCGATCCACGATTCCTCCGTCGATCCCTCCTTGATGGGGATAATGCTGTCTGGCTCCTGAAGCTGCGGCAGAGCGATGGCAGAAAAGCCGAATGCCATGCCCGTGTTGACGGTACCGAGCTGGGCAACCAGGGCGGCCAAGACTTGCCTGATGGCGCTACTCCTAGGCGGTCGACCATCTTCAGGATCGCTGTTTGGGACAGAGCCGTTCGCCAGGTTCGTCCTCTCGTCATTGAGCAGCGCGGACTGGATTTTTGGGAGCAACGTCGAGTCCACCAGCGTCGCCTTCTCCGGGTCTTGTGTATCACTATTTTTTCTATAAAAAGAACGATTGTTAGTTACGACGGGAAAACAACTCTTAAATGTATGTGTATGTACGCTATAGTTGTGCCAATGCATTTATTACTTATATGTTATCTAGACGCGCGGCTAAGTACGTGTCGCGTTCCACGCATACACACGCGGAAAGTTAACGATGGAAGCAAAATTTTTGTATTCGCGATATTCACATTATCGCGCTTACTGGAACATTTATGTACAACGAAGTGAGGAACAAGCACAAGGTTACGTTTATGCAAATTACACGGTGATTAGACAGAAATTTCGATGACACAAGTATTATTAATTTTCGTTAAAATAAAAAGCAGAGGTATATATCGAGCGATAATGAAGTGTGCAATGACGTATTACCGTAATTATTAAACACGGAAATGTAAATTTGCACGCGCGAACTATTCACATGGGAAGTCGATGGGAATCGATTCGAGCGGACGTAATGGGTTTTCTATATAAATAAGCTATTATGTAAGCTTAAGAGTTTTAAGACACGCAAAGAAATTGACCAATCATAGTCGATTATTCTTCTCACATTCGACTGTGATTAGTTAATTTCTTAGGATTTAAGACTTAAAACTTAGGTAACAACTTATTGTAGAAAATCCATAATAAGGCTTCCTATAATAAGCCATTATCTAACTTTTAAGTCTTAAGTCATAAGAAATTAATCACAATCGAATGTAAGAAGAATAATCGACTATAATTGGTGATCAATTTCTTGCGACTTAAGATTTAAGGATTAAGTAATGGCTTATTGTAGAAAGCCCATTAGATTTTCAGCGTTCATTCGTCGGAATTGTTCTGAGAATACGCAAGTACGCGATGGAACTTTGCTTTGAGGAGCAAGCATTGCGCGAGAGAGCGAGCGATATAAACAAAACATCGGCTCATTACTATTTATTTGGTTTTACGGAAAGATAATAATTTATTTTCGTTCGTCGCGGCAGATAACACAGCAAATGCCAAACGTTGCGAAGTATTGTATAATGTGCGGAAAATTTTCCGCGCTAATCAACATGAAGAGATTATTTTGTTCGTCGATCGGTAATGAGCCCCAAACTCCTCTCTTCGTAAAAGCACGTCGTTACTGGCTGCAAATTTGGCTCGGATTTGACGACACTAAAATTAAATCTGACCTAAATGTTCCGCATTCAGTTTAGGGACATTGTCACTCAAGCGTCTTGGATATATATATATACATAATACGTATATAATAATTATTTTGATAATCTATAATTCGTTTAAATCTAGCAAAAATAAAAATCGGAACGTAAGTCGAGTGTAAGAGAATATCTGAAAGAATGAAGCTTTTAGGAGATGAAAATGGTACGTAAAAGGAATGTGTAAAAATATCGTTTTTTAATA